CTTTTGTAGTAGCGAATATCTGTGGAGGGAAAAAAAAAAAAAAAAATCCTTTTTCTCTCTGTTTTTGTATTTTTAAATATCTTATGTAAAATATGTGAAGCAAAGACTACAGTTGAAGGGAATACTGTGCGTCTCCTGTTGCATGACTGCCAGCCTTCAGCGGCAGTGACAGCCCTTGTGTGGTTCAGTTCAGAAGCAGACGCGTGTTTGCAGTGCGCCGGTGTTTCTGCGCTACGAGCTCTCGTAGTGAACCCGTTAAGTAAACGCGTGTTGCCTGGGTAGCACATCTCAAGTACGATTTTGAGATTATCGTAAATGGACAGTGAGAAGCTTTTTGTAAACGTGTGTATTAAAAAAAAAAACCACTAAAAAATAAACCATTTGTATGCATTTTTTTGTAAATGTGTGTATTAAAAAAACCACTAAAAAATAAACCATTTGTATGCATTTTACTAGGTTTAAGTCAAATGTTTTTTACAACCTGTGATTTCTGAGGGTCGGCAACCTAAATGCCTTTTGATAGCTGTAATGGCTCCCAATGAAAAAGGCATAGAGGCTGCATTCTCATGAATTACCTTGATTGCTGTATTTTTTGCACTTTAGAAAAGAAAAACTTGATACTCTGTGTGTTTTGAAGGCCTGTGCTGCTGCGTGCACTGTATAGGGGTGAACTGGGCATACAAAAACCAAAGTGAAGGGATAGTTGGCAACTTAGCATGACGCTACCAAGTGAAAGTCTCCTTTAAATGTACTTAAAACTGCATTTTAATTTTCTGAGAAACTGTTATTGTCTAAACTTTTTGTGCAGCTTTAATTTGCATGTAGATTTGGCTTTAATAGTTTTTTTTCATTGTCACTGTCTGTTTCCTTTTGTTTAAATATATCTTGTTATTTTATTCCTTAGCTCTGCTAGCAACCGAATAATTGGTGCTAAGGATCATGCTTCTATTCAGATAAATATTTCTGAGGTAAGTTTCGTAACAGAAGTATGTGACGAGAGAGCTACACCTTTACACTTTTGATAGAAGTTAAGGAATATAACAGCTTGTGATGCGTCTCCAAATAATTCACTAGAGACCGTATAAGGGCAGAGCTTGAGGGCTTTCAAACATACAAGTATATTACTATGTCACCCCTGGTTATTTTTCAGCCTGTTGGAAAATATTCATTAGAGGGGATTTCACAAAGCTCTGTACAATCTGTTCCAGTGCTTAACTGTTTGACTAAACACAACTTCCTAACTCTAGATATTTAGAGTTATAAATTAGGGAATTCCTTGTCCTGAAGGAAGGAAGGAGAAGAAATGCTTGTTTCTGGGAGATTCTTACCCCTTCTACCTTCACCTGTCTGTAAGAAAGTACCATTCTTCAGTCTGTCCTTGTGCACCCTGGTTTTTAACTTTTTATTCCTGTTGATCTTCTCTGTGCTTTTTCTAGTTTGTCCAAACTTTAAGAAAGATACAGTTTCCAGAGCAGAACTCTCTTTCTGTTGTACTTTGCTTAACTAAAATGCCATCTTCCGTGTTCTGCTTGAATCATTTCTGTTAATACTTGACACTGCTGCTCTTGATAGGTGACAAATGAGATTGCTCGTGTTGGGGGTATTATATGCTTAGAATTTTTCCTGAGGCATGCTGGTTATTTGTATTGACTTGATATTGTACCTTTAGTTTTCTTTCTGTAACATAAGGAATTTGTTCTTGTCTAAGTTTAATTTCGTCTTCTCAAGGTAGCTTTATTGCGAATCCCTCCAAGCTTAACATATATGCTGAGAAAACCACAGTAGACCTTGACTCCTGCAGGAACCCAGTTAATGCACGTGGGCTCCAGTTAATTTAAACTCCTTTTAGCGTGGGGTTTTTTCCCATTTGTTTATTGGTACTCACCTTGCAGGAATTCTGTGGACACAATGTTCCTATAGCTTATGAGCTATATAGCTTGATTTATTCTTGAATGGGAGACCACAAGACTACATTCCTATATTTTTAAACAACTGAGTCTCTTGTGTTATCTGTCTGACTTAAGAAATCGTTTTTAAAAATGCTCTGTTTGCGATTTCCTGTAAATGTTAAGGCAAATACTTTTCTTGTTCTCTGCGTTTCATTCCTTCAGTGATCCCTACTTCTTGCTTTCAAAGGATCAGAGATTAGCAGAACTCAAAAACAAACTCACATGGTATTACAGGGTTCACTACGCTGTTTAATTTCATGATTTATATTGTTCAGTCTTTTTTCCTGTTAAATTTCTCAGCAACTGGAGGAAGTGAGACAATTTGTGTGTCTCAACTTGGGCATTTTTCTACCTGTGCAACAAGACTGTCCCCTTCCCCCCTTCACTTCAATTTTCCATAATACTGGCCTTAATTAAAAGAAACATGAAAAAATAACAAAGGCAGTAAAATCCTCAAGTAAACTTTACATTGAACTTTTCCATTTTTTTAGAACTCTAGCATTTTCTTCTTTTAGCTACCATTTTGTATTGTGTTCTTGTTATGCTGTGTGATCCATTAAATTTTATAGCTGCATTATGTAATTAACTATAAATTTGCTGTGAAAAGATATTCTATAGTTGTCTTTCTAACTTCAGTATTTGCCTTGGGTTTTTGTAGTTTGCTGAAAAATATTTGCAAAATTTCACAAGCAATTTTTATCTTTGAGTGCTAGGCAAGTGTGATGTAAGAGCATAAAGTTTTGTAAGAATCTCTATGGAGTAACTTACTTGTAATTACAGGTTGACAAGGTAACAGGCAGAGTAAATGGCCAGTTCAAAACGTATGCCATTTGTGGAGCAATTCGTAGAATGGTAAGTATTTTCTTGAGCTACAAAATGATTGTGCTTCTTTTTATATTGATTAGTAATGTTATATATTTATGTTTTGCCCTGAAAACGCAATGTGCCTTCAGCTCATTCTAGAGGGAGAGCTTTTGTGGGGATAATGAAGACACAGTGAAGACATGAACAAATTCACTTGCAAGAATCAGTTTCTTCTGTTTTTTTCCTCAATCCTTTGGTTTGTAGAATTACGTATGGGGGGGGCGGGGGGTTAATTTTTTTTTAATCGCTGAAGGATGCAAGTGGATTTTTTTTCTTTTAAGAATGTGCCAAGCTACTAATACCTGGCTTTTATCTGTTTATGATTATTAAATATGATACTACCATGACTTAAATTTGTTAAACATGGTGTGAAGGTTCCTAGAGTTCCTCAGAAGTCTGCTTACCCAGAAATATATCTTGTTAATGCAAGTGTATATTTTATCAAGCTAAAACTACTTCTTATTCTAAAGGACGACAAATAATTTAACAGCTTGTTTTGAAAACGCTAATCTGTGTATATAAAATGTAGTGATCTGGAAAATGGTGTGCATTTCATTACCAGCATTAAATGCTGCAGCTGCCTCTCTTTTTAATGTGTATCAGCAATTATTTGGTCACTTCAGAATCATCTTTTATTCTTTTAAAGGGTGAATCAGATGACTCCATTCTGCGTCTGGCAAAAAATGATGGAATTGTTTCCAAGTACGTATGTTTATCTTATCCTCTAACTCTTGCAGGGGTAACTTCTATACCCAAATCCAACTTTTAGGATGAAAATGTATACGCTGTGTTTATAGGATGATTACACAGTTAGTCAAAAATATTTACTCGAACTGTTGAAGCAAACTGGTTTGTAACAATGTTTGTTTCATTTTCTTCTAGGAACTTCTAACTGAAGAAACTCTGGTATGGAACATCTGATGTAAAATAAACAATTCGAACCTATATTGTGCTGTGTCTTTTGTTCAAGTCATAAACATTGGTGGATTTATTATAGCTAGTCTTAAAAGACTTAGAAATATGTGTCTTCAAAAGATATACAGATTCTGATTGTGAATTCTTAAAACAAATCTGCTTGTAAAGCAGTGCCAGAGTTGAAAATCAGGAATTTCCACTTCACTCTTGGTTCACTATCATCTTTCTTTTCCAGATTTAGTAAGTTTTGCGATTGTAGCTCAACTCCTTTTTTGATCTGTAATGGAACATTTTGCAATGTAGCAACTTAATTCAGCTTGCTGCTTTTTCACTGGAAAAACCAAGGGGATTCTTTTGGTTATGATATCAAAGTTTAGTGGGTTTTGTGCTGATAGAGGCTCACAATACTTGAGTGTGCCATTGACGCGCATTCTTTAAGTGAATTATTAAAACTGGAATTCATGGAAAACTGTCTTATCAGAAATACTTCTTGGCATGCTAGCAGATTGATTGCCATGTGAGAGAGACTTTTAAAAGTTTTACCTTTTTACTCTTATGTAAGACCTTGATGCTGAAAAGCAGGGAAATTAAGGAGATTTGGCAATATTTTAATAAATTACTTAATAGCCCTTTAAGGGCTAGGTAGACTTTCTACCTGCTGATGTGTTATTTTTTTAGCTATCTTACTAGCGGAATCGAGGGAGGATGCAAGCAGTTCGAATGATACTACATCTGCTGACATTGCCTCTCTTATCTGTCAGTTCCCTGTCTCTGGCTGATTGCCATCACTTCACGCTTCTGACGTAACACACACAAGTTTTTATAATGTAGTCAAAGAGTTGCTTCAAGGTTTTACCTGTTGTACTTCAGGTGTTTAGTTTTAATGTGAACCGGTTGGTTTTCTGATAACGTAAAGCTTCTGAAGCAGTTATTGTGAAAGAAAAATACTATTTGTTGGCTCAGACCACACTGATACTCAAACCGCTTTGCTGAGTTACTGTCAGGCATTAACTTCAGATACTGGATCTACAATCGTTCTGACCTTGCAGTACTGTGTTCCGACACCTCTGAATTTGCTCCCACTTTGTGTGCCAAAACACGCCAGAAATTGTTGTTTTATGGCTTTTTTTTTTTCTTTCTTTGATCAGCTCTTCACATTCGGCTTTGGTATTGCATTTGGAAAGTGCTATGCTCAAGGTGCTATGAATGCTACTAATGAACCTTTGGGATCTCGCGTGTCATTCTACTGGGCCACAGTGCTTTCGGCAGTATTACGACTTTGTTACGTCATAACAGCGTTAAGCACTGTATTAAATTGCAAAAGCTTTCCACAATCTTTATTTTCCTATACTGGGCAGAAATTGAGAAACAGAATTGCAGGAAGTGCTAAGCTAGAAGCAACTGCTGGCACTAAGGTACGGGTATGAGAAAGGGGAAAGAATAGGTGTTTGGAGAAGAGCAGACGCTTCATACTTTTGTGTCTTAAAGTGCCCAGTTAAAATTATTGGCACCTCTATTGGAAAAAGAGATTTCTGACTTACTTTGGCTATAATTCCACAAGGACTTAAAAGCATGGTGTCCTTTCTAGTGGTATAACGTCCCTCAGATTTTTGTTTTGCAGGAGGGGTACAAGAAAAGGCTATATCCTTTCTTCCAGGTGCTGCTTTTGTGTTGGTAGATTTTGTTTGCACACAGCAGGTTTATTTGTCAGCTGGTGCTTATCACTTAAATAGAATGTCATCTATGTTTTTGGTAGTTTTAAAATATGCCAGCGTGATGTGACTAGTATTGAAAACTTCCATTGTTGGCCACGTTTTACCAATTTCATAATATCTACAACTATACGCAGACTGTCCTTCAAATCACGCGTTCTGATCAGCACGTTCTCAAGAATTACTGAGAGAGGTTATATCCAGAGCACACCGTGTTTGCTCCTGTGTGATCGTCTCTAGGACAATCTTTGCAGTTGTCTTTACTCAAATCTCTGCATATGCCCCCTCTCAAAGTTTTCTCAAGTGATAGAAACTGTTTTGGTGATGCTTTCCTGTTTATGCTGTAAGCTGTCTCCATGTAGAGCTGGTTACCACGTGGCTTATTTCTGACTTCTTTGCAAGTTACTGTGGATGCATGTGGGTGTGGGAAACTTAAGCCTCAGGCTTCTCTCAGGAGAGCCTGGAATAGGGATGCTATCGCCTCTGAACTAAGAAGGAGGATGGCTGGACTACCCAAGTGTAGTATCTTTCTCCTTATCTGTATTTTTCTTACTTCTCAGACATGTCACAATGCAGCATATTTCTTTGGAAGATCCTGTCTTGACACCACGGATATCTATTGAATCTAAGCATAGCGAATCAGGCCATGTTAATGTGTAGTTGCAGTGTGATGTGGTTTTTTAATTTGAATCGGCTGTTTTTCAAATCATAAAGTGAATTAGGATTTCAAGTGTAAGCCACTGTATAGATATAATGAAGTATGTAACTAAACCTTTGTTTCAGGAGCAATTTCAGCAGAGAATACCAAAATCAACAGGCTATTAGCCCTTTTTAGCATAGCTATAAACTAAAACATCTTTGGTTGCACATTCTGTCTTCCCACTGATAATGCTTGAATTTACTAGTTCTCCTCCAAGCTGATAGACCTTTTAGAAGATAAACTTCTGGATATTTCAAGTAAGGGGGAATTCAGCTAAAAAGACCAAAAAAAGGCTTTATGTTGAATTCATGTTGAACTTCATAATACAGAAAGCATGCAAGAGAGAGACCTTTTAAATACCACAAGCAGGGAGAAAAAAAAAAAAGAAAGAACCCACACTTTTATTTTTGAGCTATTTTCTTCTGACATCTAAGTCAACCATGAAAGATGCATTAAAAAAAAAGGGGGGGGGGACGGGGGACGAGGGACGAGGACTGTTAGTCGTGATTCTCCTGGAAATAATTCATTTTTCCAGCACATAAATCTCTAAGAACACTTTCTGGAAAGACAAAGAAAGACAAATACAGTCTCCAAACTGGAGAGATTTCGGCTTGGCTTATGTCCAATCCTCATTACTTTCCTTTGTACACAGTAAAAGGAGATAAGTTTTAATTGGACTTGATGTTTCTTTCTGACATATCTTAAATTAGCTGCTTCTGCCTTGGCATTAGGGTAGAACTTTAAATTAAACCAGTAACTGTTTACTGCTGATAAAAGCCTAGTTTACCAAAGAGTTTAAATATTGTTGACTTGCTTCTAATCCCTTGGGACTCTGGGGATTTCAGTGGAATTCCTCCATAAGGCAAAGTGAACCAGCAGCTTAAAAGTTCAAGATGAACTTGAGGTCTCTCAGATGTCTTTTTAAGCAATAAAACTCCGTTAGCATACAGCTATACCAAATTTACACTTCTGTATTGATTAAGTATTTAAGAATTATGTTGTAATTTAAAACTTTCTTTGCTTTGTAATGCTGATTGTTGCTGTTTATTTTTCAGAATTTTAAAAAATTGAAACAAATTACTTTTTCATTAATTTCTTGTCAAAATAAGCTTATGAAATGTTATGGTGCCATATCCTAAAACCTAGTTCAATTGGAAATGGATTAGTGCTGTGCCAAAGGCTTCCTGAAGTTCACACCATCTTCACCAGCGAGACTGCATAGGACATGAGGTCTTACAAAAATTTATGCAGAATCCTAACAAGGGAAGACATGTGTCCCTTTAAAAGTCAATTTTGAGTTGCATTTTCTAGTATTGTGATGTCAAATGTTCTTTGTTTTCCTGGGACAGGAATAGTTCAGATCTTCTAGAGCCATGAAAGGGAATGAACTGTACTTGTACTGTACAAGATGGACAGAGTTGCCCTTACATGGTTACATTGCACCAAGTGGTGAAATTCTTTTCTGTTACTTACAAGGACTTGGCAGTGGCATCCTAAAGACATCTGATTTAACTGGGGCTATTTTAGTGTCTTTAGCCAAAATTTTGCTGCTCAGACAAGAGCCTATCTACTCCTTAAAACACCTGTTTTTTTGGTAGGATCTTGTAGACGTCTCATAATACTGATTTTTCTTTTAAGCCTTGACATCCTTTTAATGAACTACATGGTGTAGAAAAGCTGCTTTAGTCAACCTCAGCTGTAAGCGTGTTGTGATCAGAGGTCCAGGGTTAGGAGGCCACTGCATCTTCTGTTGCTGGGGGCACAGAATTAGCAGCTTTGCTAACATCACCCTTGCTTGCAAGGTGCCAAACAGGCAAAGCGCTGCCAAGGCTGGGAGAAGACAAGAGGCAACGTGCTTCCCTGGCATTGCTTGTGCTTCACTGCAGAAAGGAGCACTGTGACTCAGAAGAGAAATAAAAAAGGCCAAGAGTGTCTTTCGCCTTCGTGTATATCCCTTACTGCTGCTCTCTGCTTCCTGGCTCAAGCTCCCAAGGAGAGTGTGGAGCAGAGGCTGTCCCACTAGTGCTCCCTACAGAAAGGAAGCTGGGACAGCTTGCAAGGGATATAGTTTGTTTTCCTAAAGCATGCAGGGATGCTGGAGGCTGCTGAAAGCCTACCTAGAGGACTGAGCTAAACTGTTACACTAGACTTGGCAGCAGTTTTGTTTTTCAGTTGGATGTTAGTGAGAGCTGTCTATTCCCATCTCCTGTTTTGTTGAGTTGCTGTCACTCTTAGTGATACACAGAGATAAAAACCCCTCTGCTGCAAATATTACTTTGAACAGGTTAAGGGAGGGTTTGATTTCAGTTAATTCATTCATGACCATTTGCGTTGAGGCATCCCAGGGGAGGCAGCTTCCCCATACGTACGTTGGACTAATCAGCCAGGGAAAAAATGTAGAAAACTAATAAGGCATTTTTTTCCTGCTGGGAAATACACTATTGTTTAATATCAGACAGGAGTTCTCCTTGACTAAATCCTCAGTAGGAACTGCAGGTACTGAGATTTAAAGAATTAAGAACAATTAATAAGGTAAATGTGGGATTTCTTTTAATGTATTATGATGAAAAAGGTATTATTTTAACATCTATTCTCAGATAGCTGATAGCGAGTAAAAC